ATTTTTTAATTGCAATTTTATAGAATAAAGCACCACAACAAGAACAAAAACTAAACTATTATGAAACTATGTTTAAAGCTTTCAGATGTGTTCTAGGCTACAATGAGGATTTTCTGTTCCATGTGTACTTGTGTGAGTACAACATATGCATCCATTGAAATCTGTTCACTTTCCACATTTCTCTGAGAAAAAAAAACATGGTTAAGTCAATAGTCTGCACTACAGAATTCAGATAAAATGTGTTCATGTAGATGCACCAAATGTATTGTTTTGTCTGCAGCAAGGTCTTAGGTTTGAGTCTTTAAAGGACCACATCAGTTAAATGGCCCAGAAAACTAAAAACAAAGGGTAGAAAGAAGGGACACATTGGCAACAAAACAATAATTAACAGTGACTGGTGTACTTGCATGACAAATGAAAATTAAAAACACATTAACAATATTGCAATATAATGTATGCTTATATCTGGAATTTCTAAAGTTCGAAATTTAGAAAATTCAAAATAATTATTTTTATACCTGGAAAACACTGGAGCTAGTAATAAAAGTTATTAAAGTTATAATAATAAAGTTATAAAATTAAAGTTTTTTAAAAATTCCTTTTTCTAAAAATACAGAGCAAACTGCACTTTTACAAGCCAAAAATATACAGATAAATATATATACACATAATAAATGTGAACTGCTATACCCATCTGTTGAAATTTCCACAAAGAAATCAATTATTTTGTGTGTGTGATATCATAGATTTTACCTTGTAAATACTGATAATGAAGACTTCATTATATTTCCATGCACAGAGTAGGCAACTGCCTAGGGTTGAGAATTTAAGAAACACCAAACAAAAGCAGCAACAAAAATTTGATGAATTATATTTTCATTTAATTTATAATGTGTGAGCGCCACACAAGATCAAGATGCCAATCAAGTGTTGTTTTGTTTTAGTGTAATATCACAGTCCTAGGAAAAATGGTGAAATAGTTCTGGGCAAAATAATATTAATATTGACTATTTAACTTGAAATATAAATGCAGTTTTATTGATTTTAATTAACAATTGTTTCTCAATCTTAGTGGTCATGGTGTGATGTAATTGATGTTTTTTTTTATTTCTCGCAAAGCTACACGAGGATATTAAAGAAAATTTACAGGATTGTGTCAAAGTTTTGTCTTCTGTATATTTTCGTTAAATCATGATCAAAATTGTTTATTAAAGTTCATTTACGAGAACGTTTCTTTGTTTTGAATTTTGTGCAAAGCAACACGAGGGCTAACTTCGCTAGCCGTCCCTAATTTAGCAGTGTAAGACTAGAGGGAAGGCAGCTAGTCATCACCACCCACTGCCAACTCTTGAGCTACTTTGTTACCAAAGAATAGTGGGATTGACCATCACATTATAACACCTCCACGGCTGATAGGGTGAGCATGTTTAGTGTGACGGGGATTCGAACCTGCGACTCGCAGATTGTGAGTTGAGCGTCCTAACCACCTGGCCATGCGGGGCCTGTAATTGATGTAATCTCAGCTTTCAAAAGTCATATGCTAGTGAACTGTATAATCTAATATAGATTTTAATTCAGTGAAAAATCATACAGAGATCAGAATAAAGTGTTAAAGGCTTAACTTGGGGATACGTAACTATAATAAAAGAAGCTTGTGAACAACTTTTGCCACAGTTACAGTTTTGGCCATTTTTAGAGCTTGTTTTATTATTCTGTAATTCATTTGAATTATGATGTTGCAGTATGATAAGAAAAGTAATGCTTTTCATTTAAAAAAATGAGGTAGGCTTAGTTAACTCATTTTGCACTCGACCTTACTAGGTTTCATTTCACCGACAAAGCCGCCATGTTAGTCCTTATCAACCTGTAACTGTTTGAATGGTCAAAGAAAATCACCAAAAAGAAATATAAATACATTAATATAAAACAGGTTTAAAATGTATTACATATATTAAATGTTTTGTTCAATTTCATGCAAAACTACTCAAGGGCTATCTGCACTTATATTAAATGAAACCTTCTGGTTAATAATTTTAAAAATGTAGGCTTGCTAAATAGTTTATTCACTGTATACCAGTGATTGTAAACAGTACAACTGCATGGTATTTTTTAAGTCAAAACAAAATAAAATTTGAAGCTTTATAAAGTATAAGCTACTGTATTGCCCCTAATTAATGCTCCCAGTGAAATGCAGGAGGAGGGGTGTGTGTGTGTGCTAATTATAGCATTGTTGCAGTTCCAGATTCTATCTTTCACATGATTTGTTGACTTCAATGCTAATAATTGTGTGTTTTTATTTAAATCAACATTACGGTAATAAAAGTGGATTATACGTTGGATTACTATTGCTGTTACACAAGGTAAGCTTTATAAAAATACCAGGGGGAGGGGGAGATAATTAGAGAGGGGGCATTACTTACGGGCAATACAGTATACAGAAAAGTTTAGAAGAATGTACAATGACATAAAAATCAGAAATTAAAATTTACAACAAAGGAGAGCATGTTCATTTGTCTCTTAAAAAACATATTGCACTGACATCTTTTCAAAATTTCAAAGCTGCAAATTCATACGAGTATCACATTAAAATATTTCATTTTGTTGAAGCTACATAATTTGTAGAAGGTTCATCTGAAGTTTCAAACTATTTCACCCAGTAATTTTGGTTTTCCAATGACATAAACCATATAACAGGTGCATTGAATCGAAACACATAGGTGTTTGAGAGATAATCAAATTCAGTTGACCACAAAAACTCACGAGCATTTTCAGGCTTATAATTTAAAGCTGACCTAGATTTTCAAAAACAAAGAGCTGCTGTAGCAGCATCACTGTGATGATATGTTATCTCAAATGTAAAGATCATACTTAACACAAGTTCATTTTAATTCACTTAATGACACTTCCTCCTTTCTTATATACTTGGAAAGAAGAAACACTTGATCTTACCTGCAACTTCACAGCTAATCCATTTAATTCCAAACAGAATTGTCTGTAAATAATAATAATTCATACGTGACCAATGATAAAACTTGTTTGAAACATACCACATATTTCATTATCATACCTTTTTTTTTATACTTAATATCTGGTAAAAAAAAAAACAATAATAAACAACAATACTTCATAAAAATATCTGAAACTAATTTTTAATTTTCACAGTACTGATTTTTTTATCATTTCTGTTTTTAAAATTAAAAAAAGTTAATCTATTTGTAATTAAAAATACAAAATAAAAAGTCCTAATAAATATTGATTAACACACTGAAAAACACAACAGTTATCATTTATATTGAAACAAAATGATTCCCTTTTCTTTTCCTGCCAGGTGATAAACAAGCAGCAATATGTTTATTTATTTCTATGTATTAAACAAGTGGAAAAATACAGGAGTTGAGCTTCTTTTCTGCTGTTCGTAAGTATTATTACAGTAGTGACAATTTCACTCCTGGCAGGAGTTATATACACACACACTGCTATGCTTTTTTTTATTACAAGTTGGTGAACAAGCAATAGATTTAGGTGTTGGTATTTATAATTTGATCTTATATATATTATAAACCATGTTGTCTGTCTGAGCTTTTGTCTGTCTCCCGTTTATGGCAGCCACTTCCCTCACTACATTTGAAAAGCTGTGCACGCAGGCAAAGCTCAACATTCACTTTTGAAATGAGGAGAGAACAGGCATGAATAACTTTGATGCCAAATTATATTTTTCAAACAGGATATTCTACATTAAATTGTTAGTAATTAATCACACTATCATTCACATTTCAAAATGTGACATAACTTAAAGAACAAAAATGTAGAATTAATATATGTTATTGTTGAGCGGTTCTTAGCATGACTGAGATGCTCAACAATTACTTTTTGCAGTGGACAGTAAAAGCAACTCAGAGCTTTGGCTTTGGGTGAAACCAAGAGTGCAACACAATTAACCCTTTAAAGTCCATGAAATAATTTAACTTGATAGACTAACTTAAACTTTTCCCATCATTGGGGATGGGTACTTTTGTTTGTCAGAAATACAATGATGTCAGCTAAAGCACAAAACATAGTTAATAAACATTTTGCAGTTATACAGATTCCACTGCCACTATTCTGGGATTAAGCAAAAAAAAAACAACCCAAAAAGGTACACTGAACACCATAAATTTAGCCTTACTATATAATACTTAATTCGCATGTGAGGTATATGTATCATAAAGGATAATACAAACAACAAAGATAAATCTATAAAACAACCCAAACTTGTATAAGTTCACAGAATTGATAGTTCAGATAATACAGATGATATTATTATGAAATCAAGAATACTAAATATTACTGAATAATTATCTGTAGATCACTAATAAACTTGAAGATTAGCAATCTATCTGTCTGTGCTGTTTATTAGCAGCAATCAGTTTTTTACTGTTACTAGTTTTATGTTTCTGTGGGTGCTATTTATTCTTACAGTCAAAGCTAACAGACTTTTCAAATGCAGGTTCATTTAGTTATAGTGCTTGACAGAGCATGATATAGGTTGGATACCTTCTGTATGATATGTACCTAGCATTTAAACTATACATATTAATAACTTAAACTAATGGTGGTTAATACAGTTGGGTGTGTCTCAGCCTATTACCAGACTTCTATATATTAAATAATTTTATGTAAAAAAGTTGTTTTATAACAGATCATGATAAAACAGTACTGTAAAAAATTATTAAGCTGTGAATTAGAGAACTGCATATACAGATATATATAAATCTCATAGAACATTAACAGTTGTATTGTAACTTTTAACTCTATGTATCTACATGCATGTCAGAAAACATACATGTACAGAATGAGAAAGAGCATTATAAAATAAAACAAAAAAAAATCAAGAACTTATTTCATATACTGATTCAATATTTTCAGAGTTTCTTGATAAGAAGTAAACAATAAATCTCAGAAAATGCAGAAATTAACAAGAGACAGGGGATACATCCACACAAAGTATGAAGGTAATGATCTCAGGTGTGGTTAAAAACATACCTCAAATGTTCATATTTCCAAACACCTTCATCTTGTCCCTCTGGAGGAGTAAGAATTTCATCAACATTTGAAGGATCTTTCCTTATCGTCTGTTGGATGAACTATAAGATAAACCAAATACTATGCTTTTAGGATCACACCTAATACAGGGAATATATAATAACACCTCATTTAATCATATGTACACCATAACATGGATAATTATATTAAACTGCAATCTCCAGTTGCCAACCTCTTCATTTAATTTATACATGTTCAATTCATACAAAACTATATTTGTATTGTTTTAAAGTCACTGGATTCATTGTTCTTTATACACCTATTTGGCCTGCATAAAAAAAAACTGTATTGCTTCAGAATACTTCTCTGCCTATACATTAATCCTATTCTATTTAGTATTCGTTCTACAATGTGTCATATCCATTGATTACTAATGTGTGACAAAGATTAGCACAAATAGGATCTGCAGTTTTCACTTCTGCTTCCATTGCTCCCACAAATATATACCAGTAAATATGCTACGTGCATTCGTTCAGACGTTCTTGTCAGATAACGTATTTGGATCATCTTCAGTCTGCAAACTGTGTGTAAAGAAGCAAGTATTAAGCTTTGAATATTCAGATAGAAGTTGAAATAATCAATGATGCTACACAAAGCAAAACTGAAACAGTGTAACATAGTCAAGCTATGTATATAATAAACTTTCCATATTTTACCATTTATAAAATGAAACACACTACACATTTGATGAATCAGTACTTCTGTTCATTCATGCTAAAATTAATGGGCCATTCAGAAAGGAATTAACAATATTTTACTGTCCCTGTCTTTAGGTCAAATTCTTAAAAATAGAATCACCCACACTTGAGTGACACAAATAGTTCGATAAGTAGTATTAATGTTAATAACAGTATGGTTGACAGCCTGTTGAGTTGTTTCTAAATGAATAATCAATCTTTTATGAATAGATAATGTGTCCAATTCTCTTAAAATTATTTAAACATGATAATTGGAATAAAAAACAACATGTAATTACTACAAGTATTACTTGTTTCATTAATCTGCTACTTTAAATTTTCCAATAAATTCCCTGTAACATTCACAAAATAAAAAGATATGGGACCATTACAAAAAATTGGCAGATTCTTAGTATAATTCATCTTAACAACTTTGTAAGGATCTTCCTTGCATTATTTTACTCAAAAAGACTATAAATAATGATTTTATAAATATGCTTCAAAGAATTTTGAATTGTTATAACATGTGGAAAATTTTTGAAATCTAGAAGGCAGAAGGAAACCTTTATTTTGTAAAGAAGATTTATACTATATTGATTTATTATAAAGCAGCATGTGTCTGTAAGTCTGTCCATCAGTGATGAAACTTCCCAAACTTGAGATCACCATAGCGTTTTTGAGTAATGTCTAGAGAAATTCTAAAAAATCCTTACTTTATTCATTCTCTCATTTTGGTGAGTTTGTTTCCTCTTTGTTACTTCCTTAATGTCTATTTCATGAACTATGATCATCAACTAGGGATTGTAAGTACAGCTGCTGGACAATGTGATAAATTACTCCCCATACAATCATTAATAAATGGTGAGGTAATTATGGCAGGATCAAGTTCTGAGAGAGTGCTTAACCCTTTCACCACAGAAATCGACTATAGTCGATGGAAGGTATAATTGTAGTTTCTCCACAGTCAAGAAATTTTTCCCTCTATAGCAAAAAAGAGACAACCCTCCACAAGCTTGAATTGAACACCAGACACCAGTTGAGCTAACATCTGGGAGCATCAGTGGGAAACACAAAAATAAACAATCTCTTGGCTGGGGCCCAGCAAGCAGATTATGTGAGGTACCCATGCACAGAGATACCAACTGAATGTCGTATTTTCTCTGTGTTTTTACATAATTTAGGTAAGTTACTGACACCATAATGTCAATATATGCAATGCAAGTGTGTCTTAAATATCATGATGCATAATACAGTGATATACTGCTAATTTACAATGTTTTTTGATGGAGAAATGACACTGATTGGGACTGCCCATGAAATCTAATTATGCGGTGAAAGGGTTAAGGAGAGCCAGCTGACCTTCTTCAGCTTCTACAATGACATACAAGTTGGATGATATTAACTATAGCCAATTCTCCTCAGAATGATAGAAAAATTATTATGGTCTTGTGGATCATTATCCACCTCCCAAGAAAAATAAGGGAAGAGAGGTGAACAAATGGATAGGTCAATGGCATTATGTCCGACTCAGGGCATGGAAATAGGTATATTCTCCAGTGCTGAAGAGAGAAAGGTTGTGATCTGAAAAGATATGCTCCACAGATTAATCCCTTCCATCAATATTTTCACCATCCCAATGTGAATTGTGTTAATTTAAGTATCCCACAGTGATGAAGGGAAAAGGCAATAACTTGATAACTTCCTTTTCTAGAGACAGGAAAAAGAATAGTGTGATGGTATGATCAATGAAGACACAGATGGCAACTACTTGTGTGGCACATTTCAAGAGGCATTCATTGTCTTGTGGTCTTAAGGTTTTGACCAGTAGGTCTCCAAATCTCAACTTCTTCAATAGCTTGGGAGAGCCAGCAAGCCTGTTTAAATGCTTATAAATGAAAGAGTGAAACATCATACCAAGAGATGTTTCTGATAAATACTGGAAAGTATTGAATAAGTATCTGAAAGTTGCTGTGTGGCTGCAGAATCACTGGCTAGTATTTGCTTGATGGTAAGTCTAGTTGTTAAATGTTTTTTATCCATAACAAAAGAACAAAAGTTAGTGCCTGTTGTCCTTAACTTACCTTGAAGCATAACAAAAAGATATGCTACACTATTAAAAGCTCAACACAGTACAGCATCAAGGTGAGAAGCCAACAAATAATAATGGCTGGTTTTCAGTTTTTATTATTCTTAAGTGTTTAGTTTCACAGATAGGAAAGCCTAGATGAACCAAAAGGTCCCTAATGTTATGTTACTTTAAAACAATTTTTGCACATTATGTGAAAATCTTTGAAATTGATGCTACAACACCAATCACATAAGATTAAGAATTGTATGCCAAATAATACAATTGAAAATTTAATCCAAATACATGTCAAATATCATTGAAAATGAAAACAACTTTTGCTTTAATGTCAAAAAATTCTGTATGTTTAAAGACCTAGAAAATATTGCATTAGAATCTAATACAAATTTAATTCATGTTAGACATTCATAAAAATGTAGGCAGAAATCATCCTCAAACAGCTTAAGCAAACTTTCACAGGATAAGATGTAGAGGTTTCAAATTTTGTAATTATTAAAGTCATAAACAAATCTATAATGTTTAAAGGCATTTTTCTAGGGACAGATGAAGTCTCGGATCATCACCTGTTGTACAGCCAAGGTGCTATCCATTTCTTCAAATGGTTCGTCTGGCCAGTTACAAAAATTCTAAAGATAAAAAGAAGGAATAAAAGATTTATTATTTTCCTACATGTATGTAAGGGTTAATTATTTAATTTAATGCCCATGTTTTGTGTGTTTAAATATTATAAAAGTCAAAAATGTATGTAACAGTTAATCATTAAATGCAACTCTCAGTTATACCATTACACAAGTTTACTTGAAACATCGCTAAAAAGCATACACATACCTAAGCTTAACACTAGTTAACTTAATACAACAGAAATATGTATTAAATGTATTTTTACATGAATTTGGAAAATATTTATAAGAATAATGGTTATTAAAATGTATTTTTTTATCTAAATTACTTTCAGTTAAGTGCAAACATTACTTTTTTAAGACTATATATATAGTTATTAATAATTAAAAATTAATAGATTGTTTATTCAACAACAAAAGTACTTTTATTACAGAGTATTAACAAATATAAACACTATGAAAAAAATGGTTTGGGAAATTCTTTATTATGGTTTTATTTGTCTATAAATAACCACCAGCTGAAAAATGTGGTGTACAACAAAAATTGTAAAATAATAACTGCAAAGAAAAAATAACTGTGCAATGGTCTCTACAGTAGTTACAGACTAAAATAAAAATATATTAAATATATGTCAAAACTATTTGATACAGTCTCATACTTAATAATTACAAATAAGCTTAACCATGAAACATCCAAAACTTTTATCAAGAAAAAAATACAGAAAACATAAAAATATAAAGAGTGTTCACAACCTATAATAATACAGAAATGAGTGCCTAGGCTTTACAGCAGTTTCTCCCACATCAGTGGTGTTAATGTGATGATCTTGGTTAGGGCTTATCCGCCTCTAAAGTGCAATTTACACTGCAAGGTGCTTTTGTCAAATACACCAAGGCCAGTGCTGTCTATAACACAGGCCTGCAATGGTTTATTGTCTTAAAATTTTTCATGTTCTAAGTAATACCTGTATGCTGAATCTGAAAATGATATCCATTTTTCTCCACCACATACAGAGTTTGCGCGAAACGTCATAACACAATACATAAAAGAAAGACCCCAACACATAGTTTTGAGATGATTAAAACACATAGATTTCACACAAAAAAAAGTCAGGATGAATAAGGATGCATATTCGTTTGACATCAATGTTCTTCCCTTTTCTTCAGTTTGTTTGTATTTTTGTTAACAAACAAAATAATATAAAATGTTCATTATGGTAAAGAAAATAATAATTTGATCTAAGTGAGTTTTTTTTCATCCCGATTTAAAAAAAAATCCTTACATAAAAGAAAAAAATGAATATCATTTTCAAAATCTGAGTAACTGAATTATGAAAAATCCATTATTAAAACCAAAACAACTTTTATGAAGTACTATACAGTAATTTGGTCAACATAGTTACCACCCTACAGAAGAAATAAAATTACCTTAACAGTAACATAAAAAAATAAGCAAAGCTAATAGAATTTCAGGGGGGGGGGGGTCATATTATACACATAATGATTTAAAACCAGTAATTACCTTTATCTAAATCACTAGTTAGGCTTCACGTAGGTACTTAATACAGTTTTGGTCTTTTTAATAAGAGAGCAAGATAAAAAAATTGGGAATTTAAAAACCTGCCAATAGGGATCATGAAAAAAGCAAGGAAACAAATCCCTATTTTCACTCCATACTGTTACCCAGAATTACATTTGGTAGAGTCAAAATAGGGATTTGTAGTTTGAGTAAATAATGTCTACAGTAACTCCAGCCTTGTTTCCTTACTTTTTTATGATCCCTATTTGCAAGCTTATAAATTCCTAATTTTTTATTTATCTTGTTTGCTGGCTTTTTTTTTATTATGTCCAACTATGGGCAAAGGATTACTTGATATGGTAGCTAACTTTATACATTGTAAGGATAATAAACATAGCTAGTAGCTAGCTGAAATGGTTCGTGAGGATTATCTGTAGCTATTGACTATTTGATCACATTAGTTTGAGATGTAAAATGTTAAGCTGCAGCTCGTGATTGTCATGGAGATTTGTTTGAGAATATAGTAAGCATTTATAGTTTCTGTGTAACTAAATTATCTATATATAATGCATAGCAATGGGCAAATATATGGCTAGTCTAAGTGCGAAAAAAAAAATTTACCAGTAGAAAAGCAGCCTTTTCAAATAAAACATATATGTCTAAAACATTGCTTTAAATAAACCATTGTGTCTTTTAAAGTAATTATTGTATGAATGTATGTAATAAAATTTAATATTATGTGTACTGATTTTTTTTTCACTCCTTCATACATAATATAGGGGTTGGCTCCCTAAAGACACCGATTGTATAGTGTACAAAACACTGAGTATCTACATGTTACAGTTTTCTAATATTCATCTATTATCGGTTGATAATTCCTATTTCACCCTGTACTTAAGTTTTTTAAAAGAACACCATATATTTTTTAAGAAATCTAACATCAAGGGGTA